TCTATAATGTAAAACACAAGCGACAATAATGTAATCACGCAGGAATATATCTAATTCAACAGAATAACTAACAGATAAATTCTAAAAAATGAAAATGCTACTCAACAAACAATTGAAATTTCGTGCAGTTAGCGCTGAGACACAGACTCATTGTGTGAGAGTCAGTGGTAATATATGGCTGTCTGAACTTAGACAGGCGGTGGAGGGGTCGAACCCAGGACCTACTGTTTGAAAATTGAGCGTTCAGACCAATTACCGCCGGCTCCACACAGGTGAGTCGGCGAAGATTATTACACAGAAAAGCACCACTTCAATTATCACAATTTGAAACGTCATGGAAGGGGTAAAGACAAATATTGCAGTGATACGATAGTAGACGAATTCGGGTGTCAGTAGTAGAGAGAGGAAAGTAATAATGATCGCTAAAAATGTTCTGAATTTCGACGATAAGCAGTGATGAATAGATCTGAGGCATGTCAACATGCTTCCAACCACTGAGTAGCAATACAACGCAGGTCAGAAGTTAGAGGCGTCATTGATGATTACCCAACATTCTAGTATCTCAGTTGTGAATTGAGAAATGTAGTGACTCGGTGCATGTTATACACCTTTATGCAAACTCAGTCAACGAAGTCTTACAAGCACAAGGGTTAATTCACCTTCTTTATACAATACTCTGTATCTAATCTCACCGGTACTTACCTGAGTTCTAAGCAAGTAGAACCCCGACCGGAAGCTGCTACCTTGACGTGGTGGTCGGGCTTGAACACCGCAATGACCCAACAAGCTATACTGGCTGGAACTTATGTTCCTGTAGGTCCTACCATGCCAGAAAGGTTGTTTGGATAGCAGCTAGACTAAAAGCAGTTACCCAATCCAATCCTATGATTTCAAATAAATCACAAAATTTCATGCCGGATCGGCCGGGGCCCGGATTAACAACGACCGCGCTTTCTGCTGCCGTGTCACAGGGCAGAAGTGATAAATACGCTACTGAGACACACCAAATAAAAAAGAACAAACAAAAACAGGCCGTGTGTGACCGGCCTCAAGCAGTTGTCCCCTGGGCTCTGCGGTCACGCAACCAACTTCCACGGTGTGGGCAGCCGGGAAGTACCAATCGCCCTCACAATCCGAAGTGCACGCGAAACCCCTCTAATCCTCGCTCATCTTTGTCTTCATCGTCATCTCTATTATCTTGCCTTCCTTCTACTAATGCAACTCCTCTACCTGTTGGCCCTTCACTTCCCCTTCACTCTGTGTGCACTGATAACGATGGAAGCCAAAAAGCCACCACCTACTGTCTTCTAAAACCACGCCACCAATTTTATATAGGAGCATTTAATGTTAGGACACTCTGCCAAATAGGACAACAAGCATCTCTAGCCAAGACTCTGGCATCCCGAGCCATTGATGTATGTTGTGTTTCAGAAACACGCATACAAGACCCAAGTGTGGTTATTCACCTAACCCCACCTGGCCAACAGGATGAATCTGCAAAATTCACCTTGAGGGTTTCAGGAGATGCGACGGCTAGCTCACGAGGATTAGCTGGTGTTGGGATAGCTTTAAGTACTAGAGCAGAAAAGACATTACTTGACTGGATCCCGGTAGATAGCCGAATGTGCGCTGTCCGTCTGAACGGATCAGTGAAAAGGAGAAAGGACTGCACTACTCGCCGATGCCTTTTCGTAATCTCCGCCTACGCCCCCACTGACTGCAGTTCGGATGAAACGAAGGATGAGTTCTACCAAAAGCTGTCTAGTTTGCTGCGAAAGGCTAGACGCTCAGATTTAGTCGTTTTAGCTGGTGACTTTAATGCTCAAGTAGGGAAATTGTGTCAATCTGAGAAGAATGTTGGTGGCACATACGGAATTCCGTGCCAGAGAACCGACAACGGTGACCGTCTCCTACAGTTCTGTTCAGATAATCATTTGTATCTTGTAAGCACTAACTTCAAACACAAGGAGAGTCACTGTCTGACCTGGCGACCCCCATCATCAAATCAACGCTGGACACAAATAGACCACATAGCAATAAGCTATCGTTGGCGTGGGTCGGTAGGAGATTGTCGCTCCTTCTGGAACACGTGTGTAGATACCGATCACGCACTGGTCCGCGCTCGTGTGTGCTTACGACTGAACGGACGTAGGAAACAGCGAGCGGTAAACCCATCACGTCCCCAGCTCGACCAGGGAACTAAGTCCCTATTTGAGGAAGAACTAGCTAAACACATATCTGAGTTTGACAGCTGCGCTCACCCTGAAGAAGCCTGGAAGAATATTCAGTCAGCCATAGATACAGCTGTAAAAGCTGTGAATAAGGTAAATCCAAAGGTGAGTAAAAACCATTGGATTTCGACTGCCTCATCCGAACTGATAGATGCTAGAAGACTTATTCCGGCGAGCTCCGAATTCAATGAGGAGCGAAAGCTGCACAAGAGGAAACTTACGAAAAGTCTCCGCAAGGACCGTGAACAGTGGTGGTTGACAAAGGCGAAAGAGATGGAAAAAGCATCGGCGATAGGCAACACCAGACAACTATTCAGGCTTATCAGGGAAACAGGTGGTAAAAAACAAATGATAAGCGAAACAATCTCCGAGAAAAATGGCACCATAATTAGCTCCCAGGATAGACGTCTGGAGCGCTGGAAAGAACACTATGAGGAGCAGTTTAATTGGCCCACAGCCACACTTAACCTACCGGACATCCAACACCTCCCTGAATGGGAGATAGACACAGGTCCTCCGTCCTTAACCGAGGTTACTAAAGCTGTCACCAATCTGAAGCTAGGCAAAGCAGCGGGACCTGATGGAATGACTCCAGAGGTATTTAAGTATGGAGGAGACAGTTTACTGTCTGCGTTAACGGAGGTTCTAGGCAGCGTCTGGGAATCAGAGGAAGTCCCATCGGGTTGGTGTAAGTCACTGATCATCCCGATATACAAGAAGGGGGACAAGTCGTCTTGTGATAATCACAGAGGGATTAGCTTGACTAATATAGTATCTAAAATCCTAGGCTCAATAATACTGCGTAGATTAAGTGGTGCTCGGGAGACACAAACACGAGAAAACCAGGCAGGTTTTAGGCCAGGTAGAGGGTGTATCGATCACATCTTCACCCTTCGACAGATTCTAGAACATAGGCATTCCTACCGGCGTCCGACAATCATTATATTTCTTGACCTAAAGGCGGCATTCGATTCTGTCGACCGGGAGGTTCTCTGGCGATGCTTGGCTGTAAAGGGAATGCCAAGAAAATACATTGCACTGATTAAGGCACTCTACTCGTACTCATGCAGCCAGGTGAGGGCTTATGGCGAGTTGTCATCTGAAGTGGTGACGACTAGTGGCGTCCGTCAAGGATGCCCATTATCCCCATTCCTATTCAATTTCATCATAGATGTACTAATGGACTTAACCCTAACTCACTTCAGCGACTCAGGGATTGACTTGCTACCGGGGAATAATCTCGTTGACTTAGAATATGCGGACGATATAGTCCTTCTAGGCGAGGACTCTGACAAAATGCAGAGTCTTCTGAACACCCTGAGCAACAATCTCCGCATGTTTGGCATGCGATTCGCCCCTACAAAATGTAAGATGATGCTGCAGGATTGGACTTCATCGACCCCTAGATTAGAAATAGGAAGTGAAGTGGTAGAACACGTTGACCGCTTCACTTACTTGGGAAGTACCATCAGCCCCAACGGGTTGATCTCCGACGAAATTTCAGCACGAATACAGAGGGCTAGGTTCGCATTCGCCAGTTTTCGCCGTCTCTGGCGTAGACGCGATATCCGACTATCGACCAAAGGGCGTGTGTACTGCTCAACAGTCCGCTCCGTCCTCCTTTATGGCTGTGAGACCTGGCCATTGAGATTGGAAGACATGAAAAGATTAGCTGTGTTCGATCATAGGTGTCTGCGTTCTATCTCCCGCGTGAAGTGGTATAATAAGGTGAGCAATATTGAGGTTAGGCGTCGAGTGCTAGGTAAGGCGGGGAAATCAATTGACGAGACTGTGAAATTACTTCGACTGAGATGGTTAGGACATGTGCTACGTATGCCTAGTCATCGCCTTCCTCGACGGGCAATGTTAGCTGACATAGGGTCAGGCTGGAAAAGAGCTAGCGGCGGTCAAAAGAAAACATGGCACCAATCAATGAAATCCACAACAGTTAATCTAAGCCACGTAGGAAGATGTAGACTTCCTGGTTGGGGCCCTCGGGATGGTAAAAACCAATGGTTGGAAACAATTGGCGACATGGCTCAAAATCGTTCTCAGTGGCGCAGATGCATCCACTCCTTGTGACTCATGATTTCCAATTAAACTGTTTTGTTCTCCGTTATTACTATTCCTTTGTCTCACACCTCTGTTTACTGTTTATATTATGCATTTCTCCTACTTCCTTCTCTTGCTTTGCGTGCTACATGGATTGTGGCGACTTGAACTGCCGCACATATGTGCAAAGTTCTATGTCGAAAACAGACAGACAGACAGAAGCAAGTAGAACAAAGAACTTTTCACAGAATTGCCGCAGTTCAGGTAGACATAGACACCCCATGTAGCACACAAAGACAGCGGATCTTAGCGTCTCGAGGACTCCTACCAGATAGTCTACATAGTCGACTAAACGGTCAAAGACTTCACGAACTGATTCCAGGTTCTCGATTAGGCACCCTTAATTCTTTTCTAACCCGATCTTGTGTCGGCTAACATTGCTCATCGAAGAATGCGGTGACTCGGTATGCGTAACACATGTTCTAGCCACCTCAATTAATGTAGCTTCGCAACCTCATCGATCGGCTTGCCTGGAACTCTTCGCCTAACCTCAATATTACTCATTATATTATACCACTTATAAGTGGCCTGAACAAATCTACTATCAATTAATAAATCATGTTGGTCAAAAAGTTCCACCCACCAAAACATTAAATCAGATGAACAAGTAGTTAACACTAACAGGTTAAAAACCTCGGGGGAGGGGGGGAATACAACTCACCTGTTTGCAGTGAACAATAGATGCAGTGCATGATTGTTGATTTCACCTGCACCACTTAAATATGCATCTAACTGTTTTCCAAGTGGTGTGTCACGATCAGGAAATTTAACGGACAATGTTTGCTTCTTTGTAAGTTCTGATAAAGCCTTAGCCAAAAGTGACGCTTGTGTTGTCTTCCCTACTCGATCTGCACCTTCTAGTACAACGAATATGCCACGAGATGCAGGTCCAGTCATTTCCTGTAAAAGTTGAAAACAATGACTTTAGTCATCGAATGAAACATTTATATTAATCACACCTCATAAACTGATTCGTTTTAAAATAAACCACAAGAATAGACACAAATTAGGCTATACGTAAGGTACCTCTACAGAATTTTTATGATGAGGCAACACTATACATGCCACCTCAGTTTATCAAAATAACGCACATCGTTTTAGGAACTTTACAAATTCAAGATGTAAAAGTACTTCCATATTAGTATATGCAAGTTTCACAGCTTCAAATGTGAGTTATACATTCAAATCACACGATAGTATATCCCTATTAGATAAGTTTATTTTAAATATCACACAGTGATGCAGTATTAATAACTGGATGACATTTCGAGCATTAATTATTGCCAATCATAATCATATGAATTCTAGTCATATGGTTTTACAATGTCTTATATATACTTCTCTCTCTCCTCTTCCCCTTGTTGACATTCTCAATATCTCCGGTGTGGGCTTTGCGTTATTCTGATTGCACGTGTGCGGTGTGGAACTGATAAACAAAACTTTAGTGATTAACCTCTCTCTCACTTCACCTAAATACATCACCTTTTAATACTCTCACCCTGTCCCACTATATTGTGTGAATACATGCAAGTGAATGGCTGAGCTTTTTTCTAGGTTATTTAACTTAGCAGGGTCAGTTATTCTAGGTCTAGCTAAATTTTTATGCTACAATAATGTAATTGACCTCATAGTCGTTAATTTCATGGTATTTGGCAAATTATATTTTCTTAATTAAATCTATTTGGTCCTTAAGCCGACAAAGCTTATCTCTAAGAGAGTTGGTTGGTTTAAATGCTACCTCAATTCCAGTTTCATTGAGAATCCTATGTAAGACCTCTGATGTTCTCTCTTTTTACTTCAGTGCTACAGAGGCTTTGAATTCTATATTATTTTCGCCCCTTTTATTGCTAATCTTAGTTTTTCTATGGTTTATATATTTTTAAATAAATTCTGGCGGGTAGTTATTCACCAGTAATGCTTCTTTTAATTGTTTGATTTCATTATTTAAATCTGCCGGCTTACTAGTTAGGCACTCGGCCCGATTTTACACACATTTAACTAAACTCATCTTTACCGATTACGGATGGGATGAATTAAAGTCTAAGTATTTATTCGAGTGTGTCGGTATCCTATAAATGCTAGTATCTAGCCCACCATCTTGTTTTCGTTTTATTCTACAGTTTAGCATGGCCAACTCACCCTGTTCAATTTCTAACTCATAAGTGAATTGGATTCCGTCTACTATTGAGTTTGTGTGAAAAAATGAGGGATATGATCAGATTTCAACGCAGTGAATGTGTCATCCACATATTTCAAGATCCCTAGTTCTGCCCTGTAGATAAGCGAAACAAACAACTATACACCAGTAGTTTGACTTTCGTTGTATTCTGAAATATTGATGACAAGAAACCCAGTATCCTGCAGGCGAAGCTTTAGCTGAAATGAGGTCTCACACTCAGTTTTTTATTCTTGTGGAACCACGTCTGTGCGTGCCAAAAACGTGTAGCAACTCTTGTGTTTCATCATCTCTACTTCCATAGAATTGCTTGCATCCAACGGCTTCACTGTGTAAGTGATTCCGTGATGTTGAAGGATAGTCAAGTTAGGGTCTATTGCTGAGACGATTTTTCACAGTAAGGACAAAAAGCTTTTCGTTTTAGATCTAACCCCACCCTATTATGCATATAAAATACAGCTTAGAGAACTAAGGAGCGATTTTACTACTTCCGTTTATATTTAGAAATCTAACATAAGAGTGGAATTTGGACACTGTAGTAGAATATGATTCCACACTAGATAAGTTTATTCGATAAAACACACAATGACACAGTATTAATAACTATTACTAATATATTGCTCATAATCACATAAACGTATTCACATGACTACCGAACTTGCTTCATACAGCCTCACTCGCTTTTGTTGTAACTTTTCGTTTATCTGGGACAGGTGTTGCATCATTTCTATTGCACGTGTTTGGTCTTGATCCGATGAACAAAGATCCAGTAATTAACTTGTCTCTTCACCCAAATATATTACTTCTTAATATTGTTACCTTATCCCACCTTACTGTGCGATTAGATGAGTGAATGAATTGTGATCGCAGTGGCTTTTTCTAGATTAATTAACTTAATAGGGTCAGTGATTCTAGCTGCTGATAAACTCCAATGTTTCAATAATCTGAGTAATCCTTATATACTCTTATGACTAATGAAATTTACCTCGTAAGACGGTTTTCAGTGAATTAATTCATTTCTTACTAGGGTCTATAGGTTGCTCTAGTAGCTGAAGTTAATCTCTGAATAAGTTAGTTGGTTCAAATGCCGCCTTAATTTTAGTCTACACACAGCCCCTGATATTCCTTCATCAATTATTAGGACTAATCGGGTTTAAATCCCTTAACACCTTTATTATTTACATTATTACAATTTTCTTGATAAACTTTTGATAGACCCAATAAGCAAAATGGTGTAGTTTGCCAAACACCATTTAATGACCACAACCAACATTTTATCGATATTATAGTGAGTGACACTTGCGACACATAAAACTAAAGCTGTCTCTCGAATACATCTATTTTGAAGAGTAGTTAGAAACAACACAAGTGGACAATTGTGAGTTAAATAGACTGTAGTTTATTGGTGGTTAGTGCGAACACTGTAAAACACGACTGACTGGTTTCAAAGTAGAATTTTGCACAGATGTGCAGCAGTTCAAGTTGCCACACTCCATGTTGCACACAAAGCAAAAGAAGAGTAAAGAGAGATTCAAAACAAAAACATGATTGAGGGAAAAAGAATAGTAATATGGAAGAACAATAGAATTTTATTGGATATTATAAATCAAGAGTGTATGCATCTGCGTCACACAATGATTTTGAGCCATGTCATTAATTGTCTCCAGTCATTGGTTTTTACCACCTAAGGACCCCAAACAGGAAATCTACACCTTCCTACGTGGCTTTAACTAGTTGTTGTGGATTTCATTGACTGACGAAGTCATGTTTTGGTTCGACCGCCATTGACTCTTTTCCAACCTGACCCTATGTCAGCTGACATTGCTAGTCGAGGAAGGCGATGGCTAGGCATGAGTAACATATGTCCTAACCATCTCAGTCGATGTAATTTCACAGTCTCGTCGATTGATTTCTCCTCCTTACCTAGCACTGGACCGATGCCTAACCTCAATATTGCTAACCCTATTATACTATTTCACACGGGAGATAGAACGCAGACCTATGATCCAAGACAGACAGCCTTTTCATGTCTTCCGCTCTCAAGGCCAGGTCTCACAGCCATAAAGGAGGATGGAGCGGACTGCTGAGCAGTACACACGATAGTCGGATATCACGTCTACGCCAGAGACGGCGTAAACTGGCATATGCGGAACTAGCCCTCTGTATCCGTGCTGAGATTTCATCAGCGATCGACCTGTTGGGGGTGATACAACTTCCCAAATATGTGAAGTGGTCAATGTGCTCTACTACTTCACTCCCTATGTCTATGCTAGGAGCCAATGTAGTCCAATCCTGTAGCATCACCTCACACTTGGTGGGAGCGAATCGCATGCCAAACATTCGGAGATTTCAGCCTGAGGTGTTAAGCACAAGAAAAAACATCTTGGAAAATGAGATTGTGAGTGTAACAATTAACACGTCTAAGGTTATAAAAAAAATTACAATACGCGAAGTGGTATTAATTTTACCAGTAAATAGGGTTAGAGGCATAGATAAGTAAGTCAGGACTTGAATGCTATATTTTTAATCGACTTGGATTTTTCTAAGGCATCAACTTTCTCGTCAAATGCTTATAATCTCACAGATGAGGGAGGATCACTAATTTCTGATGCAGATTTAATTTTGTAGCAAAAGCCTCATACGTCTAATACAGATTTTAGGATTTTATCAACTATTTTTGGGGGGAAAACATAGAAATTGTCACATTCATACAATGTGATGTCTTTAGTGTCGCAAAGTGTAGGTAGAAAACGAAAAGGAAAACTTTGATGATCGGAAAAAGGAACGTCCCTTTTTCCGATCTCAAGCTGACTTACATACAATAAGAATCTAAGGCTTCTGACATGCTTGATGATAGTACAACGATAACTATTGAAGCAGTAGTATTATAAATACCACCTATCTTAAAATATTTGAACCTAAATACATGATAATATGACTATAGCTTCAACACATGTGAACATTTAAAATGAATCAAGTAAATTAGTGCAAAACCAAGTGACACTGAGGATAACAATGACGTAGTGTCCACACAACACCTGTCACAATGTGAGGTGCTAAATGACATTTTATATCCACTTACGCAGAAGCACCTGCAAGACTGGATTTCCTCAACGATCCAGTAGCATTATTTTCGAGCGCACTGCAGACATTTTGGGGCAAAAAACTTCAAATGCATTGCAGATTTTGAGAAATTGAACCTAAGTCTGCCCCAAAAAGTCTGCAGTGCGCCCTAAGTCTGCCCCCAAAAAGTCTGCAATGCGCCCGAAATCGTTGCCGGCTGGGGATAGCCTTATTTATTTGTATCTTATATTAGGTGCAATATATATCAAAACATATGAAACTTGATTTTTTACATGCTACTTAATATATACTTAAGAGAGACGTACTCAATAATATCAGCTAAATAGCCTGTGGATGGCGTGTTAAACAGTGGAGAACCTCGCAGAAAAAAACCCGCGCACGCGGATGACAATATTGTAAATGGCGCTAATGGCTATGTTCACAAAACTGAATATTTTAGCCAATATATTTGCAGGTGGTATTAATTTTCCTATTATAACACCTTGGCCACATATTCCGCCATGGTCACTTGTTTTAAACATGGTTTTATCTTTTTCCTGCTGCTGTTACTTCCACCAAAGTTGAAGAATGACGAATATTCAGATTCAGGTTCACATTTGTTGATCGAAAATGGAAGCCTTGTAGCCTATGTTATCCC